TAAAACATATGAGTTCTGCTATCCTGGTCCTCACCATCTACCTGCTTCCAGCCATAGCCCAGGGCCCACAGCTGCACCCAGGGTATGGCCCACCACCCAGCCAGAGAGTCACTGTGGATTTCAACATCTTGAGGTCTTCCCAATCCTAGATCCGAGAGGTGGACTGGAGCTCTTGCCCTAAAACAGGACAGGGAAAATACCAAAACAAATAGCAGGAATGTCTGGGGCAGATGGCTGCCGACATAGGGCGCGATGCTGCCAGCTGGGACAGGGAATAGGGGAAAAGGCGCTGGCATAGGAGCTGGGACATCCAGATTCCGGGACTGATTCTCTCTGTGTGTCCTCAGGCAAGTCCGTCCCTTCTCTGAGCTTCCTCGCTTTCCCTTTTGTAGATGGTCACAGAGGCTCCTCCTCAGCTTGGTCATCTGTGGCGCTCAGGCAGGGCTTTCTCAGCTTGGGTGAGCATCAGGATCACCAGGAGAGGTCCTCTCTCCTAGGAATATATGTGTGTTTGCCAGTTTTACCATTTGTTTTATTACTTGCTTGTTTTTTAACACTTCTAAGATGGGCGTGGTGGTACGTGACTGTAGTCCCAGCTACTGGGAAGGCTAAGGCAGGAGGATCATTTGAGTCCAGGAGTCTGAGGCTGCAGTGACCTGCGATCACACAGCTGCACTCCAGCCTGGGCAATACAGCAAGACCCTGTCTCAAAACAAAACCCATTTATATTTGTGAAACAATAATACCCATCCTGAAAATGACATAAAACAGGATTATAAAATTTAATGAATAACAATAAAGAGACTACCTGTTTTATACCAACAGCTGGACTAAGAAATAGAACACTGCCAGCAGCTAGAAGCCTCTGGGTTCTTTCCCAGGTCAGGCTGCTTCCTGTCTGCCAGAAGTAACAACGATCTTGACTTTTTGGATAATAATCCCCCCCCCCCTTTTTTTTTTCAGTTTTAGTACCTGTGCTGACTTTCCTAAACACTGTGATTATGCTGGTGTATAATTCTATACTCTTTTGTATCTTGCATCTTTTCTTCAACATTATGTTTGTGAGATTTATATACATTGTTGCATGTGGCTATAGTTCTTTTATTTTTATTTGACTTACTTTCTTGAGTTTAATGTTTTTTAAAAAATAAATTAGATGATATTCTCAAAGGATACAAAAGCAAAAGATATAAAAAAGTACATAATAACATGTCTCCTTCCCACCCTCTGCCTCCAGACATTCCATTCAATCAAAGGCAATCGATGTTTTATGTTTATCTTTCTGGGGAGCTTTTTAGAAATTGGTGATTCATATGTCTTGTCAGGATTAGAAACTGTGGATCCTTGGAGAACCAGTGGGTATCTTAGGCAGATTGCTTAACTTTCCCACATCAGTGAAGCATATTGCTTTAGAAGATTGTTGATAAGCCTTTGCTTTGGAGTGCTCTTTCCTGAACTTTCCAAGAGCTTGGAGTGCCCTTTCCTGAACTCTGCAAAATTCTTAAAACCAAATTAGACTGGGAAAGAGGGAATTTAGGAGGTGGAAGGCCTGATGGTCATTAGTCCTGCGAGTGGGTATTCATGGCAACCAGGGGCCGGTCTGTCAATATGTAGAGGAACCACAGCCCTCACAGAGCATTGTGGACAAGGAGTTTCAAGGAAAATGGTTGCATTCATCACATTCTAGGGAATCAGCTGCATGGTAGGCAGTGAGTCACTCATGCTGACCGCCTGTTCTGAGTCAGGAAGGAGGAAATATTTTGTAACCATGCACATTTCTGATAGAAAGGCCAGGAGGATGTAGACTCTGTCCTTGTTCAGGTCCCCACCCTGCTGAAAGAGCCAGAGCTTATGCAGGGCCAGTGAGCCAGCTCAGGCTAAGCTGAGTGGGTAGATGTTATTCTCCAGGTGGGTGGTGCTGTCATAAGCATGGAAGTCAGGGCAGGGTTAGCAGCCTGCCTGCAATGTGCACTCCAGGTGAGCGGAGGGAGCAGTTTGGCACAGCACCAAGGGTATGGACCCGGGAGACTTGAGTCCTGGGTTTTGGGACAGTTATACAGGTAACACTTTGCAGAATAGAAACTGTATACATCTGAGGGGATAGAGGAGCAGAGGCATGTCCCTTCTTCACTGCTCCTCCTGGGGAAGTGTGAGTGCTCCTTGGCTGAGGCAGCCATGTTCTGTGGCTCTGATGTGGCCTGTTCCTGCCCTTTAAACCTCCACTGTGGCAGTACCCAGCAGTCCTCCCTCCAGCTCTGTCTCACTGACCACTGGTCTGGTTCTCTTTCTCAGCAGGAAGATGAAGCCCCTCCCAGGCCCCCACTCCCCGAACTCTACAGCCCAGAGGACCAGCCCCCGGCCGTGCCGCCTCTGCCGAGAGAGGCCACCATCATCCGGCACACGTCTGTGCGGGGCCTCAAGCGGCAGTCAGATGAGAGGAAGCGAGACCGGGAGCTGGGGCAGTGTGTGAACGGGGACTCCAGGGTGAGCGGGGGACCCTGGGACTGCCACTCTGCATGTGGGGAAAGGGAAGGGGGTATGACACTGGCAGGTCACATCACCTGGGTCTCTGCCCACAGGTGGAGCTGCGGTCATATGTCAGTGAGCCTGAGCTGGCGACCCTCAGCGGGGACATGGCCCAGCCCTCCCTGGGACTTGTGGGCCCTGAGAGCAGGTACCAGACGCTGCCAGGCAGAGGTAAGGCAGGGTC